GAGGTTCTAGGGATTGAACGTAGGCCCTTGCACATACTAGGCAAGTGTTCTACCACTGAGCTACACCCCAAGCCCAGAAATAGGCATTCTTGTACATGGCTGGTAGAAGTATGACTTGCTGAAACCTCTTAGGGAATTAATCTGGCAATATACATTAAAACATATACCAAGGAAATTCCCACAAAGGTCTATAATGGAGCATGTATGAGGATGCTCATCATGTTCTTTGTGGTGACAGGAAGTTGAGGGCAATTTGATTGCCTGTCACTGGAAAAGACGATAGAGAAAAAGTGGTAGATGTATGCTCTGGAGTACTATGCAGTGGTTAGAAGGAATGTATTCGATGTATACAGAGCAAGAGGAAGGGCTTTTACAAAAGGATTCTGAGCAAAAAAAAAAAAGAAGGAAATGTTAGCATGATTTTTATAATTTAAAATGCACATACATAAAATAACAAATTGCACTTTATAAGAATACAGTCAAACATAAATGTATATGTCGAGAAATGAGCCTGGCACTGTGGTGCACACCTGTAATTCCAGTGGCTCAGGAGGCTGAGGCAGGAGGATAATGAGCTCAAAGCCAGCCTCAGCAATAGTGAGGCGCTAAAGCAACTCAGTGAGACCCTGTCTCTAAATAAAATACAAAATAGGGCTGGGCATGTGGCTCAGTGGTAGAGTGTCCCTGAGTTCAATCCGTAGTTCATCCCCTCAAAAAAGGGAAAAAAAAAAGAAATGGTTATCTATGGGGTAGAGAGGGCATAGGACTAGGGAAAGGGACTAAAAAAGGAATATATGAATGAGAATGTACAAGGGAGGGAACTGACACAGGCAAATAATAATAATAATATGCTATAGACTGAAGAATAAGATTAATTCATCCTGAACCACTGATGAACCCCCCAAATTAATAACACATTCTCTTTGAATCTATTGTCTATTTCAAAATTTTTGTCACCACTAACAATATTTCTGCAATAAATATCCTTTGTGTGTATATTTATGTTATGATTATATTTCTTTTTTAAAAAATATTTTGTTTTAGTTTTAGTTGGACACAATACCTTTATTTTATTCTTATGTGGGGCTGAGGATCAAACCCAGTGCCCTGCATGTGCTAGGCAAGTGTTCCACTGCTGAGCCACAACCCCAGCCCCTGGTGATTATATTTCTATAGATACAATTTTAAATTGTGGCATCTCCATATACGGAATATGGCATAGTTATTAGAAAGCATGGGTCACAAAGAAATCCATACCAAGACACATCATAATCTTTGGAATAAAACAGATGAAGAAAATATCTTGAATTCAGCTAAAGAGAAAAGATGCATTATTTACAAAGGAACACAAATTTTAATGAGAGCAGGCTTTTCATCTCAAACCGTGCAAGCCATAACAAGTGGCATGAGATTTTTCAAGTGCGGAAAAATGTGAACTGTTGGATTAGAGCAGGAAATAATAAGCCTGGAACATCTCATAGTGCCAGAAAATCAGGAAGTGCCCCAAAAGAAAACACACACACACACACACACACACACACAATAAGTAGGTGAAAGGGTTATAGGAGCCAACAAAAGGGCTCCAAATGGCCAAGGCTAGAAGAATCTGAGCAACGAAATAAAATGGTATTAGATTATAATCCAAGGTATAAAATATATCTTCATGAATCCATGCACATATAAATAAGTGATTGATTGGATAGATCAGCATATATATGTGGGAGAAGAGACAAATCTGCCATGCAGACTTCTAAATAATTTCTATAGATGCTCTTCCCTCAAGGAGATGGAGCATAACTCTGTTCATTAAATTTGGGTGCATCTAGTGACTTCCAGGGGTATAGTATGGAAACAGGAAAAAGAGTAATCTTACTGTGGAGAAATCTGACAAATACTACCTAAGCCAGGTGCTAAAAGTCAACAAAAACAGTGTTAAGTCATTTTGATAGTAGATATCCTTGTCATGATGTGATGAACATTTGTTTGTCTGTAATCTTCTTCCTCCAATTCATAACCTTAGTTTAATCATGAGAAGCATCAGATGAATTTCAACATTTTACAAAACAGCTGATAAATACCTCCTCAAAACCATCAAGGTCATCAAAAACAATTAATGTCTGAGAAACTGTCACAGTCCAGAGGAGCTCAGGGAGACATGATGACTAAATGAAATGTGGTGTTCTGGATTGTATCTTGGAACAGATAAAGGACATTAGATAAAAACTAAAACTCTGAATGGATTTTAATGATAATGTATCAGTATTGCTTCATTAATTGTAACAAACATATTTTACTAGTATGTTAATGATAGGAGAAACTGGATGGGGACTCTCTATACTATCTTTGTAATGTTTTTGGTAGATATAAAACTGTTCTAAAAAATAAACATTATTGGTTTCTTTCAGGGGGCAGTGCTATGGATCAAGCCCAGAGAAATACTCTGTATGCTAGTTCCACTATGAAACTACATCCCAGCTTCCTCCATCCCCAAATAAATATTATTTTAAAAAAGAACTGTTGATACCAGGTATAGTGGTGCATGCCTATAATCCCAGCTATTCAAAAAGCTGAGAGAGGAGGATCATAAGTTCAAGGTCAGCCTGGGAAACTTAACACTGTCTCAAAATAAAATAAAAAGAGTTGGGTATGTGGCTTAGTGGTAGAGCAAATACATATCATGCACAAGGCCCTGGGTTCAATCCCTAGTCACACACACACACACACACTTGTTAACCATAGATTTTATATCTGACAAAACTACCCTTCAGATAAAGGAAAATTAGGAGAATCTATTGCTAGCACATCTTTCTGTTAAAGAATGGCTAATTAAGGAAGCTCACTAATGAGAATATAAATAAGAGAAGAAGACCTAGATGTTCACAAAGAAAAAACATAAAATGGGCAAAATAGGGGTATATTATCCTCTATGAGTTTCTTAAATCATACATAATAGCTAAAGCAAAAATTGTACCACCATGTGATATGGTGTTCAACATATGTACAGGAAATACTTCAGACCAAGCATATATTTTTAAGGTGGGGAAGATAAAGGGATTTCAATGTAAACAGAGTTTCTATATTTCACTTGAAGTGGTAAAACACTGATACCAGTAGACTGTGATAAGTTACATATCATAATATCTAGAGCAACCACTAAGAAAAGCCTATAGAGCAATATAATTAAAAATACCATAAATAGATCAAGACAGAATACTAGAAACTGTTCAAGTAACCCATAGTAAAGCAAGAAAAGATAAAGAAAGAAATAGAATAAATAATACACTACAAAATGTCAGACTCAAACCTTAACATATTAATAATTACTGTTATTGGTTGAACTATGTTCCCCGAAAATAAAATGTGAATTTCTTTTAAAATAGGGTCTTTTCAGATTTAATCAAGTTAAAATGAGGTCATTACAGTGGATCCTAATCCAATATAACTAGTATCCCTATAAGAAGAGAAATATTTGGACAAAGACATAGAGAAGGAAGAACACTATGTGAAGACAGAGATACAGAGAGAAGAAAGCCACGTGAAGATAGAAGCAGAGATTGGCGAGAAGCTGCTCCTGCAAGCCAAGGAATGCCTGAGACCAGGCCAACAGAAACTGGACAAGGCAAAGAAAGATCCTCCCTTAGAGGCTCCGGATGGAGCATGGCCCTGCCAAATACTTTGATTTTTGGACTTCCACCCTCCAGAACTGTGAGAGAATAAATTCTTGTCATTTTAAGCCCCAAGTCTGTGTTACTTTATTATAGCAATACAAGGAAACTAACACAATTAGCCTAAAATGTAAATAGTTCAAATGTACCCCCAAAAAAGAGAGATTGAAAGGACAGATAAAAAATTATTAACTATGTATAGGCTGTCTACAAGAAATTTACTTGGAATATAATGTGATACGTAAGTAGAAGGGTGTAAAAAAAAACATGCCATATGAACATTATTCAAAAATGTTTGAGTTAGATCGATATGTATTGACCCAAGGATATATCCACTACAGTATTACCAAGTGAGAAAATCAAGTTGCAGTATTATAAATTTTTTGTAAAAAATAAAGGGGCTGTGGTTGTGACTCAGCGGTGGAGCACTCACCTAGCGCTTGTGAGGCCCTTGGTTCGATCCTCAGCACCACATAAAAATAAATAAATAAAGGTATTGAGTCCAACTACAACTAAAAAATAAATATAAAAATTTTAAAAAATTATCAAAATCATATACATGCATACACACTCTCATGGAGATGGTGTGAAAGGTTACACATATTGGTCTCCTCAATGTTACAAGGGGAAAGTAAAAGGATATGAAAGGGGTGAGATTATTATTTACATACAAGTATAGACTAGCCAGATTTTATTAATGTTATAAATTTTATAATGGCTTATATGACACATAAGCTTAACACAATATCAGTGGGAAACACACAGAAAATACATATCACAAACTGCTCCTTTGCTAAACTTTTGGTGAAATACTTTCTGGCCTTATGGAGGTACTTGAAATTTTCAGTTAGGAATTAAAGTTAGGAAAAATGCTTATTTCATGGGACTCTAGAATTCCTTTTTGGAGATGTTTAAGGAAGTAGCATCCTGGTTAGGTATCTGATTTTATATTTTTTCCAGATTTTATAATTGTCTCATTCTACATTGGAAAGATAATCAAGGAAAATATTTTACATGTGATCTTTAACATATGCCTCACTCTGTACACAAGAATGGAGAGAGATTATTGACTTAATCTTCTTGTATCTTTGACTTGTTTCATCTGTTACTGAGAACATGCTTTTTAATTTAAAAAAAATCTGAAACTAATAAAAAAATTTTTGAGGGGAAAAAAACTATAATTTCCACAAACCTACTTTTATTCCTGTCCTCTACTTTGGTAAATGGTACCATTATTCATTCCCAAGACAGATCTGAAAATAACGCAAGGTCCCCCTCCCCTTTCTGTAATCTTCCACCCTTCCTCTTAATTAGTCACCAAAATCCAGAATCTAGTTCATAAATATCCCTACCTTCCTCTAATTAATCATAAATCCTATCCTTTCTTAAGTCCTATCTCTTTTAAAATCCCTTCCCTTCTTTTCCACCCTTGCCAATAAAGCTATTTTTAGTTCAAGATTTTAACATCATTATTTTGACAGCCTTTAAAATAGTTCCTGTTTTACTCCTCTACCCAATTTCTCTCAAACAATGCTTTTGACTTAGCTTTGTATACAGTAGGGGTATAGAAAAGTCCACAAAGTGATTACAGGTAGTACAAATATATTTTAATAGGTATAGTTTTATTTTGATATATTAAGAAACACATCATAAAACACATGAATTCAAAGATACTATTGCCTAATTTTTAGACATTAAAATGTTGAAGATAGAATATGAGAAGTAAGGCCTGAGGTTGCAGCTCAGTGGTAGAGCACTTGCCTAGCACATGTGGGGAACGGGGTTCAATCCTTAGCATCACATAAAAATAAATAAGCAAAGGCATTGTGTTCATATACAACTAAAATAGCAAGGATGGTGGAATGTGAGGGTCATCATTATACAAAATACATGTATAAAGATCTGAATTTGGTGTCAACATACCTTATATATAAACAGACATATGAAAAATTGTGGTATATATGTGTATTAAGAATTGTAATGCAGAGGCTGGGATTGTGGCTCAGTGGTAGAGCGCTCGCCTAGCATGGGCGGGACCTGGGTTCCATCCTCAGCACCACATAAAAATAAAGGCATTGTGTTGTGTTCATCTACACCTAAAAAATAAATATTTAAAAAAAAGAATTTCAATGCAAAAAAAAAAAAGAGTACATGTATAATGGCATAATTTGGTGTGAACATACTTTATATACGGAGTTACAAAAAATTGTGCTGTACATGGGCAATAATGAGTGTAATGCATTCCACTATTGTCATGTATTTAAAGAAAAAAGAATATGAGTAAGTGAAGTTTGTAATTAACACGATAAAACCCAAACTCCATGATTTTTTATAATGTCATTCTACCTTTACAATTTCATCATCATACATGTACCATTATAATTAGGGGAAACTTTCTGATGGTTTCCAAATAATTCATGTTTCTTTTCCTTCTCTACCCTTCCTCATGGCATTCTTTCTAATGTCTGCCTAGTAAATTTCTCCTTATGCTTCAATATTTAGCTCAAATATTCTATCCATGAGGATTTTTTTCTGATACTTTAGGCTCACATATGTTTCTAGAATACCTCTATTCTAGTACTTACAATGTTTAATATGGTAATTATTTGTTTATATATTTGTATTTCTCACAAAAATATGAACTCTTCCAGGGCGGGGACTAAATCTTATTCAACTCTTATCCTAATCTCAAAAAATACTTGGCAAAAGTACCACCATGAGCCAATAACTATGGTTTAGTCAATGCATACATGATGGTATATGCCATATCCTAGATTTGTTGTAGGCTATACCATGTAAGTTTGTGTGAGTATACTCTATGATGTTCATAACAGTGATACCCGATGATGAAGTTTTCAGAATGTATACCTTGGGTAAGTGACACATGATGGTACCCATAAAATGTAAGTTGAATGAAAAGATCCAACTCTTGAATCTGGATCCAAGCAGACTATTTCCTAAAGACAGATCTGCTTTGCATGTTACTATAGCTTCCTTTCTTCCTTTCAACATTGTTCTGGTCACCTGGAAAAGAAAACGTAGGCCAAAATCATAAAGGTTTTAGAGAAAAGAACAGAACAGATTAAAAGGGTCTAGTTTATTTCACTTAGTATAATGTCCTTGAGGTTCATCTATGTTTTAGCATATGTCAGAATTTCCTTCCTTTTTAAGGCTGAATAGTATTCTGTTGCATGTGTATGCTATATTTTGTTTATCTATTCATTTTGTCATGGACATTTGGGCAACCTCCACTTTTTGGCCATCATGAATGATGTTATAAATATGCATGTATAAGTATCTGAGTCCTTGCTTTAATTCTTTTAGATACATAATTAGGAATATAATTGCAGTGTTTTTTGTTTGTTTGTTTACCATATATAGCGCTGTACTGCTGAGCTGAACCCCAGCTCTTTTCATTTTAATTTTGAGACAGGGTCTTGCTAAGTTGCCCAAACTGGCCTCAAACTTGCAATCTTCCTGCCTCAGCCTCCTGAGGATCTGGGATAATAGGCATGTGCCACTACTACACCTGGTGCAGTTTGTATTTTTAATCATTTTGTTTCTCAAGCTGCATTTTCACCAAACCTGTGTTGCATTTAATTAGAAAAAAGTGGGGTTATTAAAACAAAGAGGGCTAGGGTTATAGCATAGTGGTGGAGTGTTTGCAGTGTGGCACTGGATTTGATCCTAAGTAACACATAAAAATAAATAAAAATAAAGATATTGTGTCCATCTATAACTAAAAATTTTTTTAATCATTCTTGAAAAATAAAGAAAGAAAGCCAGGTGCAGTGGTGCACACCTGCAATCCCAGTGGTTTGGGAGGCTGAGGCAGGAGGATCTTGCGTTCAAAGTCAGCCTCAGCAACTTAACAAGGCCCTAAGTAATTCAGCAAGACTTTGTCTCTAAATAAAATAACAAAAAAGGTCTGGGGATGTGGCTCAGAGGTTAAGTGCCCCTGGATTCAATCCATGATACAAACAAACAAAAAACAAAGAAAAATGCTACATATATTTAAGAGACATTAATTAATATGATAGTATTTTTGGTCTATTAGATATAGAATTCAAGTTAGCTCTGAATCTGATCAACTTTGGATAAAATGATAAGATTGATATTGAGTTTCTGGACATATAAAATGATGGATCAGATCCTAGTATTCAAAATGCCACACAGATACCGGCATCTGTAAGGCTCAATTGAAAACTGCCCATTGGAGCCTTTTGGATAGCTGTGTTGCAATGTTGGTGACTCCAACTTTACTAATAGTGAATAACAAATTTAGAATTAAGGGGCTCTCAATCTCCTTTCAGTTTATTACTTTCCTGAATGAATTTAAAAATTGAAAGAAGCATTAGAAGTCAATATGAATAAAAAAAAGGAAGTCAATACAAATACAAATGAGAATAATCCTTTTACAAAACAATCTACCTGGAATGAATTGGCCTTATGAAAGTGCTTTTAGTGTGTATATATTTGGCCTCCATAGGCATTAATCAGGGTGTGGATCCCTTAAGAAATGTAAATACAAGGTTATTATTGTTTTTATAAAGCAATATCTCAGAGGATCATTTCCGAGCACTCTATAACTGCATTTATACCAGGAAAGCTATCTTATCTGTATTATAGAGTGTAAACTTTTACCATAAACTTGTTTCTCAGCCTGACTACAGAACTCAGCTCCTCTAAAGGTCAACTACAAATACATCAAGCAAAATCTACCTTGAAAAATTCAGTGGGGATTAATTGCAAAATATACAAGATTTCTTTTGGGGGTGATGAAAATGTTTAGAAATTTATTGTGGTGACAGATGCATGACTGAATATACTAAAAAAGATTAAAATCACAAAATTTAAGTGTTTGAAATGTATGGCATATTGATTCTATCTCAACAAGGCTGTCACACACAAAAAAAACCCCAGAAATTGGGAAAGTGAAAATACAAACCAGAGAATGAGAGAAAATATTTGCAAATCATCTATTTGATAAGTATCTAGTATCTCAAATATATTAAAAAAATGACTACAACTCAACAACAAAAAGATAAGCCAACTTTTAAAAGAGCAAAGATTCCATTTGACATTACTCTACAGAAGTATGCAAAAGGGCAAGAAGCATATGAAAAGATGTTTAATATCATTAACTGTCAAAAAATGCAAATCTGCCAAGCACAGTGGTACAAATACTGTAATCCCAGTGACTCAGGAGCCTGAGGCAGGAGGACTGCAAATTCAAGACCAGCCTCAGCAATTTAGGGAGGCCCTCAATAACTTAGTGAGACCCTGTCTCAAAATAAATGGACTGGAGCTGTAACTCAGTGTTTAAGTGCCCCTAGGTTTAATCACCAGTACCAACAAAAAAGTGCAAATTTAAGCCACAATGTGACATCACTTCATGCCTACTAGGATGGCTATAATAACAACAACAAAGAAGACAGGTAGTAATAAGCATTAGTAAAGGTGTAGAGAAAATCCCATACATTGCTAAAATGGTGCGGCTACTGTGAAAAAGAATTTGGTCATTTCTCAACAAGTGAAACAGAATTACCACATGACTTAGGTATATGCCCAAAATAACTGAAAACAGGTGTTCAAACAAAACATTGAATAAATATGCTCATAGATGTACTACATACAATAGCCAAAAAGTGGAAATAATTCAAATGTCTCTCAATGAATACATGGATAAACAGAATGTTGTACATCCATGCAATGGAATATTATTCATAAAGTACAGATATATTTTATAACATAGACAAACTTTGAAAACATCATACTAAATGAAAGAAGTAAGACAAAATGAAACACATACTGTATGATTCAATTTATATGAAGTATCCAGAATAGGTAAAATCCGTAGTAATAGAGACCATATTAGCAGGTGCCAGTGGGAGCAGGGAGCAATGAAGAGTGACTTCTTAATGGCACAGAGTTTTTCCATCTGGAATGATGAAAAACTTCTAGAACTGAAGAGAGATAATGATTGCACAACACTGTGAATGTACTGTAAATGTGATGCCACATAAAACATTAAATTTTATGTGTATTTTATCTCAATAAAAAAAATCCAGCCATGTAAGAAGTTGTAAGAAAACATTAGAATAACAACTATAAATAAGGTTTAAGCTTAATTATGTCACAGCTTAGCAATAAAAGTATAGCGGATCTGCTGGGTGAGGTAGTACATGCCTTTAATCCCGGGGACTTGGAAGGCTGACAGGAAGATCACAAGGTTGAGGCGAGCCTCTGTAATTTAGTGAGGCCCTGTCTTATGATAAAATTTTAAAAGGCCTAGGGATGTGGCTCACGGGTAGAGTCCCTGTGCATTCAATCCCCAGTACCAAGAAACAAGCAAAACAAAAACAAAACCCACAAGTATAGTGGATCTCACCAATTGAGATATAGGCATGTATCTAGCAAAATGTCAGACTAATGGATTATTTATTTGTTATTGTTATTTTCTGTAGTGAGAAGTAAAACCAGTAGCAAAACTCTACCACTGAGCTATGTTCCCTGCCATCTCTACTTTGAGACACTGTCTCCTTAATTGCCCAGGCTGGCCACACATTTGTGATCCTCCTGCCTCAACCTCCTGAGTAGCTAGGATTACAGCATGTGCCACCATGCCCAACTGACTATTGAAATGTTTTAGCATGTAAAAATGATTTTATTTTCGGAATAAACCTTAGATAACATCCTCATTTTCCATACATGAAATATCTTTACCTTAGGCATACCATATTCAAATTGTAGAAAACCAAGACAAAGAGTAAATCTTGAAAGAAGTTAGAGTTTAAAAATTCCTTCCCTGTAGAGAAACAAGGATGAAAATTACATCTGAGCTCTCCTTAGAAACCATGCAAACAAGAAGAGATAGGAATGAAATATCTAAGGTACTGAAAGAAAAATCCCTCCAACTTAGAATTCTGCATCCAGAGAAATTATCCTTTGGAAGTGAAGATCAACAACAAAAAACAGTCCAATTTAAAAGGCAAAGGACTTAAATAGACATTTATCCAAAGAAGATGTACAAACAGCCAATAAGCACTTGAAAAGATGCTTAGTATTACTAATAATTAGAGAAATGCAAATCAAAACCATGAAATATCACTTCACACCTATTAGTATGGCTATAATTTTTTAAGAAACAAAAAAAAACAGGATATAATAATCATTGGCAAGGGCATGGAGAAATTGAAACACTTTTGCATTGATGGTAAGAATGTAAAATGGTGCATACAGATGCTTTGGAAAACAGCATGGCTACTCCTCAAATGTATTCCTTATGATCTAACAATTACGCTTCTAGATACATACTCCAAAGAACTGAAAAACTGGGATTTAAACAGATTTTTCGTTTTACTTTGGTACTGGGGATTGAACCATGGGAGCTCTTTATTACTGAGTTACATTCCCAGCTTTTTTTATTTTTTATTTTGAGACAGGGTCTTGCCGAGTTATTTAGGGCCTACGTTGCTGAGGCTGGCCTTGAACTTGAGATTCTCCTTCCTCAGCCTCTCAAGTCACTGGAATTATAGCATGTGCCACTATACTTGGCTAAACAGATATTTGTACACCCGTGTTTGTAGTATCATTATTCACAATAGCCAAAAGATGGAAATGATTCATATGTCCATTGATAATGAATGGATAAATAAAACATGATGTATTTATACAAAGAAATATTATTCAGCTTTGAAAATAAATAAGCCAGGCACAGTGGTGCATGCCTGTCATTCCAGCCTCCTGGGTTCAATCCCCAATACCACAAAAAATAAAAGAAAGAAATTCTGGTACATTCTACAGATGAATGAACCTTGAATATATTAAGCCTAAGTGAAACAAGCCAGACACAATAAGATAAATATTGTATGATTCCACTTATGTGAGGCATCTGAAATTGTCAAATTTATACATAGAAAGTAGAAGAGTAGTTGCTAGAGCTGAAGGGAGAACAGGGAATTGTTGTTTAATGGCTGCAGAGTTTCTGTTAGGAATGTTGAAAAAGTTTTCAAGATGGGTGGTGGTGATGGTTGTATAGCAATATGAATATGCTTAAATACTACCAAATTGTACACTTAAAAATCTGATAAAAGTGCAGATCTCATGTTAAGTGTTTTTACCACAAGAACTATAAACTTTCTAAAAATTTTTCAAATTGGTCAATTTTATGTTATCTAAATTTTACCACAATAAAAAAATGTGAAAAGAAAGTCACCTGTATATATTGATGTGGAAATATTTCCATACATGTTTTATTGTTTAAAAAAACATAAAAATGGGCTGGGGCTGTAGCTCAGTGGCAGAGTTCTTGACTTGCATGCTTGAGGCACTGGGTTCAATCCTCAGCACCACATAAAAATAAATAAATAAAATAAAGGCATTCTGTTCATCTACAACTACAAAAAGTATTTTAAAAAACCATAAAAATCATAAAATACTGCAGTAATTTTTAAAGCCTATAAAAAAGTTTGTAGAAGGCTGGGTGCAGTAGTACATACTTATAATCCCAACAACTCAGGAGGCTGAGGCAGTAGGATTGAAGTTTGAGGACAGTCTGGGCAACTTGGTGAAACTTCCCCTCAAAATAAAAAAAAATTTAAAAAAAGGACTAGGGATGTACGTTAGTGGTAGAGAGTGCCTGGATTCAATTCCAGGTATCACACACACACACACACACACACACACACACAAAATGTTTATAAAAAAATGTTTTCTAAGGGCTGGGGTTGTGGCTCTGCGGTAGAGCACTCGCCTGCCTAGCATATTCGAGGCCCTGGGTTAGATCATCAGCACCACATAAAAATAAATAAATAAAGGTATTGTGTCCAACTACAATATATTATAAAAAAAGAAAAAAAAATTAAATATTTCTTTTTTAGTTGTCAATGAATCTTTTGTTTTATTTATTTATATGTGGTGCTGAGGATCAAACCCAGGGCCTCACACATGCCAGGCAAATACTCTACCACTGAGCCTCAACTCCAGCCCTATAGAAATGGTTTCTAAAGTTACCTTCCTGCTCTAAAATTACACTTTGATTAACTTGTTTCACATGTTTTCATTAACAACATAATTGTAAACTACTTCTACAGATAGCTAACCTCATCTCTTGGATAAAAATTGTTATTAAAATTTCAAAGAGTAATTCTTTTTCTAAGTTCTTAGCTTCCTACATAATAATTATAACACTAATCATATTACTCACTAATCAATTCCCAATAGGAATTACTAGACACATCCAGTAGCAAAAATTTTAAAAATTAGAATCCTTGAAACAGATGGTTAGGGATATGCATTCAAAACTAGAATGTACAAAAAATGAAAACATGTGACTCCTTCATGATTCCCAGAGGAAATAACAGTAACAGTAATCAATCTACTTTTGGCTTATCAAATAAGTATACTGTAGAAACTTGAGTGGGACCACCTGAAATCTGACAGAAGCTCTGTGGAAGTGGATCCATGGAGGTTGGCTGTATGCATAACATAATAGAATGAATCAGACATAAATTTCCTATGTTCATATATGAATACACAACTAATGAAACTCCACATCATGTTCAACCACAAGAATGGGATCCTAGTTAGAATAAGTTATACCTCATGTATGTACAATATGTTAAAATACACCCTGCTTCATGTACATCTAAAAAGAACAAATAAAAAATAAAATAAAATAGAGGCTGTGGTTGTAGTTCAGTGATAGAGTGCTCGCGTCACACATATGAGGCACTGGGTTTGATCCTCAGCACCACATAAAAATATAATAAAATAAAGGTATTGTGTTCACCTACGACTAAAAGAAATAAAAAATAAATAAAATAAATAAAAAGAAAAAAGCCTGAAGAAAAAACACATGCCAATATGTTTAAAATGATTATCTCTGAGAAGTAGGGCTACAAATTTTCTTTTCTATTTTTTACCTGTATTTCCTAAACTTTCTAAAATAAATGTGATATCTATTATAACAAGAAAATCCAAGCAATAAAATGTCATCCAAAAAATGGTTGGTTTTAAGAATGATTGAGCTGAGTTACATTTTCTGCCAGTTGTTTTAGTCAGGAAAGTGAACAAAATCTTCTGGGACAACCGATGTGATTCTGCAATCTGTATTTGGGGTAAAAATGGGAGTTCATAATCCACTTGAATCTAATGTATGAAATATGATATGTCAAGAGCTTTGTAATGTTTTGAACAACCAATAAAAAAAAAATCTTCTGGGACAAGGTTAATAGGGAATATGAAGGCCCAGAGAAAGACAGTACAATTCTCTAGAACGTAAAAGGAAGTAATGAACAGGAATGCAAGCTTTGCTATCACTCTCTCCTTTTTGCTTCTTCTCTGGTTTCATTCCATGCTCTGAACAACCTAAACCATGTTACATATGGTGTTCACAAGAAAAATCTATCAGGAAAATGGTCTCTCTAGATTCTGGATCCCTCCATTATCCCTTTTCTCTTTGATCCTCTACATTTTCTTATCTACCTACAGACAGGATTAACTTTTTCCCATCCTAAAACAAACTTAAAACACTATTTATACCATATCTCTTTATCAACTACTATCCTTATTCCCTTTTTCCCTTCATGGCCAGATTTCTGGAAGGTTAGTCTACAGACACCATCCTTTCTCCTTTCCCATTGAGTCAATTCACTGCAATATGGCTTCTGACATGACTCCATCAAACTATAACTGGAGAGCTTCTTGGGTGTTGAATTCACCAGATCTTGTTTATACAGCATGATGTTATTTGTTCCTCTCATTTCCCAAAAGGTCTTCTTGGCCTCTGGGACACTACTGTCTCCTTATTCTCCTTTCTTTCCTTTCCATGTCAGAATTTCTTCTGTTCAACCCTTACTCATTGGGATTTGCCAGGATTATGTCCTAGTCTCTCTTATCTTCTCACACCACATGGGATAAAGGTCAACTTTGAAGCTTACCATTGTCATCTAAACATTGGTAGATTGCAAAATTTTTAATACCAGCCCCGAACTCTTGCTTAAGTTCCAGACATCTATTTCCAAATTACTGTTAAGCATCATGACCTATAGGCTACAAGGTACATTAAACTCCACTGGTCTAAAATCAGATTTGTCTTCTCTGTTGCTTCAATCTGTGGATTCCTGAGTAATCTTCTCATTCTCAATTGCAAGCCAAGTTCCCAAGCTGGAAACTTTGATTTTGCCTCAACTACTCTTTCTTCCTAACCCTGCACGTGTAATCAGTCAGCAAAGAGTCCTGTTGATTTTAAATCATAAATAGCATCCTGTCAAGCCTGGCCTTCCCCTGGACTGCCACAACCTTGGTTCAAACCCTTATAATGTCTAATTTGAACTACTATACATGCTAACTAGTCCTATTACCAATCTGTCCCTATTCCAGATCAATTCAACTTCAACACTGCTTTCAAAATGATTTTTATTATTATTATTTTTTAGTTGTAGTTGGATACAATACCTTTATTTATTTATTTATTTTTATGTGGTGCTGAGGATTGAACTCAGGGCCTTGCACATGCTAGGCAAGCATTCTACTGCTGAGCCCCCTTTCAAAATGATCTTGACAAAGCAAAACAAAACCCACTCTTTTGACTTGGGAGAAAACACAGACTCCTTGATTTAGCATATTGGGATTCAGTCTAGCCTGCAAGCCTCACTTTCTACTCCTCTCCCAAACCCTGCATACTAAACTTCTCATCATTCCAAAACACACAAGGCTCTCTTATGTCTCCATGTCTTTGCACATTTTATGTCCTCTTCTTAGAACATCCTTCTTTTCTTCTTCACCCATCCTTTAGTATGTGTCTTCTTGAGATACAAACTACCTATCCTTTGCTCTTTTGCTAAGCAATTATATTCCTTAGCTTATTTTAATCCTCAATTAATTCTGTGCAGTAATTACCATTATCATCATTTTACAGATGAAAAAAAGCCCCTGGTATTTAAAAGGGATAAGAAAAT